GGTCATGTGATCAAAATTCAGATGCTTGGCAAGTGGCTCCTATTTATGAGGGTTACAGTGTCCCAAGATCATGTGATCACCTTTTGCAACCTTCTGACAAGAAAGTCAATGGGGAAGTCAGATTCACTTAACCATGTTACCAACTGCAGTGATTCACTTAGCAACTGTGGCAAGAAAAGTTATAAAATGGGGCAAAATTCACTTAACATCTGTCTTGCTTAGTCACAGAAATTTTGGGCTCAGTTGTGGTTGTAAGATGAGGACTACCTGTACTACACAAGAAAAAGTTATTTACATTTATTTTTCACTTATATATCTGAAACTTTCCATCTCTATCTCTACCTCCACCTCCACAGGTAAGTTGTAAGATGAAAGAATGAGTAGAACTGCTCTCCAGTGCACTACGTACAATAGATTATTCCAATTTTCCCATGCTTTGAAGGAGCCTATTATGGCAAGAGCATAATTAAATGGTTGCAAAATGTCCACAACTAACATTGCATCTTAGAGGGAGTACTGTGTTAAATATATTTTCATCATGTTTTCAATCAGCTTAGCTTAAATCCAAGCAATTGTCAGGATAAGAATGTCACATTCAGCTCTCCCTTGAGTCCAAAGTTAGGCATATCAGCTGTAAAACCTTGCTGTTCAAACCCTGTGTAGCCTTGTTAGACATTCTGAGTGGTCAATAAGTGGTCAATTTCCTCGGGTTCTGCCATCTAAATTCTGTTGTTGTTGTTGTTAGTTGCGAAGTCGTGTCCGACCCATCGCGACCCTATGGACAACATTCCTCCAGGCCTTCAAGTCCATTTAAGCTCACGCCTACTGCTTCAGGGACTCCATCCAGCCACCTCATTCTCTATCATCCCTTTCTTCTATTGTCCTCAATCTTTCTCAGCATCAGGCTCTTCTCCAATGAGTCCTTCCTTCTCATTAGGTAGCCTTCCTTCAGGATCTGGCCTTCTAAAGAGCAGTCAGGGTTGATCTCCTCTAGGACTGACCAGTTTGATCGACTTGCATCCAGGGGACTCGCAGGAGTCTTCTCCAGCACCATAGTTCAAAGGCCTCAATTCTTTTGCGCTCAGCCTTTCTTATGGTCCAACTTTCACAGACATACATTGCAACTGGGAAAACCATGGCCTTGACTATACGTACTTTTGTTGGCAGGGTGATGTCTCTGCTTTTTAGTATGCTGTCTAGATTTGCCATAGCTTTCCTCCCCAGGAGCAAATTCTGTACTTCATTTAAATAGGTTTTCCCCATCAATGTCATCTTTTATGACAAAAGGATATGAAGACACATTAGCCTTCTTATGCCTAGGCTGCATCAAAAGAGAGATAGTATCAAGATCATGTGAAATTATATTACATGTGATCTTGACACTTTACACTGCACTGGTAAGACCACATTGAGTCCAGTTCTGATCATGATGTTGAGTTTCTAGAAAGAATGCAGAGAAGAGCAACAAAGATGATAAGAGATCTAGAGGCTAAGCTGTATGATGAACAATTGTGATAACTAGGTATGTCTAGTGTAACTAAGAAAAAGACTAAGAGTGACATGATAGAAATCTTCCAATATTTCTCTGGCTGTCACAGAGTAAGAGGGAGTCCACTATTCTCCAAAGCACCTGAGGGCAGGACCAGAAGTAACAGGAAGAAGATTAAAGAGAGATCCAATCTAGAGTTACGGATAAATTTGCTGACAGTGAGAACAATTAATCAATGGAATGGCTTGCCTCCGGAAGTTCCGGGTGCTCCATCATGGAGGTTTTCAAGAAGAGATTAGATAACCATTTGAAATATTACAAGGACTCCTGCTCCAGCAGGGGGTTGGATTATAAGACCTCCAAAGTCCCTTCCAACTCTTATTCTATGTTCTAAGCAGCAATTTGGAAGTAATAAACAAGTTACTACCAAATTAGCTAAGTATTTATGCTCAAAAAAGTTCACAAGACAATAAACTGAAAACTGAGATTGTCAGTTATAATCTTTATATTTTAAAGTTACGTTCAGGAGAAATGGTAAGCAGACATTCAAAACCAGAGGCAACAAATCTCAAGATAGGAGTAGTTTGGGGCATAAGAGATGGAGCGTGTAGATGTAGATATTAGTCTTTGGGACTTCAGAAAACAGGACCTGATGCACTTAAAAATATAAGGCTAAATTAGCTATCAAACATTGTGGCTTGCATGTAATAATTCTAGATCTAGCTAAGAAATAAGTTCAAGGTATAATTAACAAATAAAATATTGCGTTTTCTGAACATTTATGGTATAAATATCTTTAAACACATTTGTTTAAAGATAGATATCTAGACTTATTTTAAATTATAAGTATATGCATGAGTGCTTGAAAGGTATATTGTAAAGGCTTCTCCATGTGTGGATAACGGAGACCACAAAGCAGGATTGTTAGTCTCTTTCCAGAGGGGAATATGGAAAATATTTTTAAAAATATATTATTGTAAATAATAGAAACAATTATAAGAATACTTCCATAAGCAAGTGCCCGCCTCCCACATGATTAATATGTGAAAAAAGATAACCTGTAGACTTCTGTTATTCTCTCCCTAGACATTCCATGCTAGGAATGCCAGCATAACTAGGGGTCATCACATTGTTGCATAGTTTATATAATTCCATTAACTTTATATGAAATAAATCTGGAATTGGGTGATTTGATATTTTGATACATATCTAATTCCCTAAATTAGAGATATCTGGACTTCCTTTCATTGGAGATAATGCAAGCTAGGAGTATCAGGTTTAAGTTTTTTTTTTTAAGTAGTATGAAGAGTTGAAATTAAGGACTAAAATGATTTCTAAAAGTAGCTGAGTTACATAAATTGGAGAATATAATGCTTATTTGGGCATGGATCCAGCTGTAAAAAGTATATTCAGGTCTATTTTACAGAAGGGGTATGAAAATACGATAGGTAAAGCTACTCATAGACAGAGTTTCAGCCAATGCCAGTAAATGCATTTCAGAAACGAAATTCCCCTATCATTCCAGCATACAATAAAACAAATGAACAATGAAATTCATCTATATTACTTTTTCCACTACAGAATGTCATAAGCAGCTGCAGAGTTATGAATGGAGACTGAAGCTGAATTTAATAGTCTTTATAATGCTGTGTATAAGAATGTAAAGTTGAAGAGCTTGCAGGCAACAGCTGGAGGATTTGAAAGCTCATAAACATGGAATATGGATAAATGAAATAGCTGCTATGCATGGCTAATGATAGCACAAGCTCTTGAACCAACATAATGAAGTTGTACCAAGTCAACTCTTTGAGGGAAAAATGAAATGACTCAAATGAGTAATGTGAGTCACTTAAACACATGCATATATAAAAAGGATGCTTTTTTGGGAAATCCAGTTGTAAAATTATGAGGCAGAAACCACTTGGCTAGTATAGATCAAATATGAATTCCCACAAGATGTATAAATTGGCTAGAGAATAAATTTTCACATTTTTACTAAAGCTTTGACATGTCTATATATAAAATGAAAAATCATTTTTATTGAATTGCTGTGGCCATTATGGGAAAAGGATATATAGCCTTTCGTACGTACAGGTAGTTCTTGACTTATGGCCACAAGTGGGTCTGAAATTTCAATTTGACGTAGGTGTGATTGTAAAGCAATTATCATGTGACCGGATCTGATTTTATGACTAGTTTTACCATGGTCATTAAGCAAATCACCATGGTTAAGTGAATTATGTAGTGGTTAAGTGAATCCAGCTTCCCTAATTGACTTTGCTTGTTGGAATCCACCAGCAAATCGTGATCACATGACCACAAAATGCTGCAGCAGTCATAAATGTAAGCTGGTTGACAAGCGTCCAAACTGCAATCATGCGACCGTGGAAGTGGTGCGATGGTCGTAACTTCGAGGACAGGCCGTAAGTCATAAGTCACTTTTCCTAAGGCCGTTGTAAGGCTGAACTGTTAAACTATAAGCTGCGAGCTAACTTTACTTTTCCTGCTGTCTGGTTATGGAGAATAGAAAGTTATTATTTTTCCTCCCATCCCTGCAAAGAATATAATAAGAAGAAAAAAACTGTACCTGGGATACAGAGGCTGGTGGGAGATAAGGGAATTGTGGGTAGGGAAAGCAGGATTGGGAAGGAAAGTTTAGAGGCACCTCATGGGAATTGGAGGGCCCAAGCCACACAATTCATACGGGTGGACACCTACATCCCCATTAACGCCTTCAGAAACAGCAGTAAAACAATCAATTTCCTCTTCCTGCTTTAGATAATGTAGGTGCAGTCAGTTCGACAATAAATGTTGACAACAAGGATTAATGGAATGCTTTAAAAGCTGTGATAATGCATAATGCTGTTTTTATTTTTCTGTTTCCTATTGCCAACCTGCTAGAATATATGTTCTGATCCGGGCAAATTTTTCCATGGAGAGAGAAAATAAAATATATTTATGGCAAGATGAACAATATTTTAAACATGGATACTATTCCCATTCATTTAGAAAATGAACACTATTTATTCGATAGACATTCAGTCAAGAATAAAAAAAATACAAATGACCTATGATGATAATGCAATATAGAGGCAAGCACCAGATCGTAATTTTCTGTTAAAAAACAAAAATCAAGATTACTTTGAGACAATACATTTCACCAGCAGGAAGCAAAGATTTATTTATACCATCTTTGTTCCACTGATTATCTTCTTCCCTGTCATTGTTGTGGATTGATAGTAATATTATGATATGGAATTTTAGAGATATAAAAATTGAGACCAGACCATAAAGCTACACAGTATGTAAAAATTATGAGGGCGCACTCTCAGCATTTTTGCATTATAGGATTATTTATATGAACAGGTGAAAAAACAGTGATTTTATTTGTCCTTGGTTTCAAATTCCTTTAAGCAAGTTTTAAAAAAAGAACTGAATTCCTAAGTTCACCTGATTTTATAATATCAAGTATCAACACAATTTAAAAAGTAAATTTCAATTTATTTAAATGATTTATTAATAGTCTCCAACTCACACTTATATTAAAAAGCAAGAGAGATTTTCATTGTTTAACTGTCAGTGCATAGGCCAATTCAAGAGAAACTACAAACCAATAAAACAACTTCTGTTGCTACTATCAGCTTCAGATTACTATGATACACCTCAAGGGAATCCAAATGTTCTTAGGAAAAATACAGTTTAACAAGTAAAATGTAACAAAAGAAAACATGAGTTTCCATTTTTACTTTTTTCTCTTTTCCCCCACACATTAATATTAATCACCACTGATGAATTGCTTGGTTAGATCATGTACTGAACGTATAGCCTAATAATACATTAATTTATATTTGGCTACAATATGATATGATTGAGGGAGTACTCATGTTACAGAAATTTCTGTGAAATGTATGGACCAATTTTATCAGCATACCAAAATGTACAAAATTCCAATCCCAATAAAATACTATTAATCATAATTATATAAGCATTTAAAATACCCAAATATTGCAATTAGCAAAAAATCATAAATGAAACATAAATGAAAACATAAATTACATTTAAAAATCTGTACATGATTCATCTTATAATAAGGCATTAATCACAAAAAAATATGTTCTGTACAAAGTCACTTATTTTGGTTAAGAATCTACAATCACTATTTTTTAAAAATGAAGAATGTATGTGCATATGCCTAGTACCTAAAATAAAATAAATTGACATTTATTGACTGATCACTCTGATCTCTAGCACCGTCTTAAAGGAAAATTAAGTGAAAGCTGTGGTGACCAGGGAGATCAACAAAATGTGGTAATTTATTCCTTACTAAATTTTACTTTGAACAGGCAAAAAGGGTTGGCTTAAGTTAGAACATTTTATTTTTATTTGTTTATTTAAAACATTCATATAGCCGCCCATCTTATAATCAAACCTGGGAAGCTCTCAACTCCCAACATAGCTTATACCTGTCATTTTTTTGGGTAGCAAAATATACTTCCTGCTAAATCAGGTCAAACTTCCATTTAATTATAAAAATAATCATCAGATTTCTTTATGAAAGGATTGGTCACTGAGAAAAGTTTCTGTCATTCTGCTTTTACCTGTACCTTATCTATTTATGAATAATTCCATTGAAAGTTTATTGCATCAGTAAGATAAATATTTTAAAATGTTTAAAATGTTTTAAAAGACACATTTTGGCCATCTTTTCACATGCAGAACAATTCCATGTCACCTATATTGTTTGGTTACCAATTTAACCAGAATTCATTAAAAATACAATCACAGTTCAAGATATACATGATGTGCAATGCATTTGTACTATATGTTGCACAGCAACAGTATATTATAAAAGCAGCCTCCCTGCAAGAGCTGTAATCAACCCTAGATTTTAGTAACTATTCTACATCACGTTTGCAAATTTTTCTGGACAAATAATCCATTAAAATGGTGTATTCAATACTGCTGCATTTATGTAGATTTGGGGTTAGCAGTTGTAGATAGGAGTCTGAAGTAAAACACTGATTGTATAAATCAGAAGAACCACAGTCTTCAGCAAACTAAACAGGGGTCCACTATCATTGCTGTGATAAGGCAACATTTTTAGGGTTCTGATTGAAATTCAGTCTCATCCATCTGAAGAGTGTCATTATCACCCAATAATTCTGTTTCGGGCACAGAGCCCTCTTCTTCCTCCTCTTCCTGGACCAGATTCTGAGCAATGTCTTCTGACACATTATGTACGTCTTCTACTCCTTCAGTTAGAAGAGCAGCCCGGTCAGCCATGGAAGCATTGGAGGGGGCAGTTGTTACATATCCTGTACTAGTGGAACCACTCCCACTATGATGAGAGGCTGGTTTTGGCATCATCTGAGGAGCTATTTGTTGAGGGGCCATCTGCATTGGGATTTGGACAGGATAAAAATTTGGCAAATATGCTCCATAAGCTGGCATTGGTTGGTAACCATTGACAGGAATGTAAAGTTGAGGTGGCACCATTGGTCTTATTTGTCCTTTCATTGGTATGAACTGTGGCTGAGAGAAAGCTTGAGTTTTCTGCTTTGGCCCAACATACCTGGCATTGCTGACATTACTAACAGGACTTGTACTGAGGGAACTGGTTTGTGTAGTGTTGCTTGCACCAGAGGTTTGTGCAGAACTGTTGTAATTTGATAGGTTTCCCCATGTTCTCAATCTGTTGTGGATATCTTTGAATCTTGGCCTTCTGTTGGGAAATTCATTCCAACATTCTAACATCAGTGAGTACATCCATGCAGGACAGTCATCTGGACATGGCAAAACCTGCCTATTTCTAATCATCTCAATGACATCTTGGTTGGAATAGCCACAGTAAGGCTGCAAGCCATAGCTGAAGATCTCCCACAGCACTACTCCATAAGACCAGATGTCTGAATCAACTGAAAATTTACCATACATGATTGCTTCAGGGGACATCCATCGAATAGGAAGAGGATTATTTCCCATTAGTTTATAATAATCAGCAGAATAAACTTCCCTGAAAAGGCCTAAGTCAGATATTTTCACACTGAGCTTATCAAACACGAGCACATTTCTGGTGGCCAAATCTTTGTGGACCACATGGTGGCTTGAGAGATATTCCATTCCTGATGCTATCTGAGTTACAATGTGAAAAAAATCAGCTGGCTCCAATGTTGATTTCACTGTCTTATCATCATCAGTGCTGCCAACATCAGAGTGAGGAGATCTCATAACAAGGAACTCATGAAGGTCACTATGAGCACAGTAGCTAAAAATCATACTGGCGGGCTGTTCTTTGGTCACTATTCCCAGTAAACAAACTATATTGGGATGCTGTAATCTTGATCTCATCATTGCTTCATGCTTAAATTCTTCTCGGAGAGTTAAATCTGCTTTATCCTTGAGTGTTTTGATGGCAACTGTTTGTGTTTGCTCCCCTGGAGCTATACCAAACAGGTGACCTTTATAAACTTTTCCAAACTTCTCTTCACCTAGTTCCTCCATGAATCTCACAGTAGAAAGGCTGATTTCTTTTAGTTTATTCTGAAAGTAAAAAGAGTAACGGGATAAGATGGTCTACCATATTAGAAACCCTTAGCAGCAAATCAGTGATAAAAATCTAAGTTAAAATTAAATGCTTTGGTCACATTTATATTAACCCGCTTAAATGCACAAAATCTGTTTCAAGGACTTTTACTACCTTGGCATCTTTCTGCATCTTTTCTCAGATCAAACACTTGAGAAATGAATAAATGCTGAAGAACCTACTGAGAGGTTTGGTATGGGTCAAAAAAATTCAAATTAAAATGGCATTGCTAGAAGACTCTAGAATAATTAATATTAAATGTTATCTTTATGATGTAAAATAATCTGTCTGCGTGCATAAATTTGGGTAAGGTACCTGTTTGTGCTGATTAATGAGAGGCATTTCCATGTCTTGGCTGGGAGAGGCCATCAGCTGACGACGCTGTGGAGTGGTGGCAGATGCTTTCTGCTTGTTCCTGCACATGCAGACCAAGAGGAAAAGGCAGGCAATAACTAGAGGGATGGCTATGCTCGGAACCAGGATGTAGAGGATTCCCATTTTGCTGCTGTCACGTGGGCCTGTGAGATGAAAAAGCATTGCATGTTTTCAGACGGAGTTCAAAAGCAAGGCAAATAATGTTATATTCCAAGGCTAGACAATGAATATAGCCCACACAATATGTACAGGTAATCCGTGACTTACAACCATTTGTTTAGTAACCGTCTGAAGTTACAATGGCACCGAAAAAATGACTTATGAGAGTTTTTCACACTTACGACCACTGCAGCATCCCCATGGTCACCTGATCAAAATTCAGATGCTTGGCAACTGGCACGTATCTATGATAATTGCAGTACCCTAGGGTCATGTGGTCAGGTTTACCCTGTTACCAGCTTAACAACTGCAGTGATTCACTTAACAACTGTGGCAAGAAACTTCATAAAATGGGGCAAAATTCACTTATGTCTTGTTGAACAACAGAAATTTTAGGCTTGGTTGTGGTCATTAGTTGAGAGGTGACTGTAATACGAACTTATACACATCTTTGTAATGTAATCCACAATGGACACAAAGAGCTTGTCTCAAATAAAATGCAGGGGATTGAGTAATTAGTATGAATATCAACACTATCTACAGTATGTGGACTGTGTTACCAAAGCATATCATTAAGTCACAGACCTTTCTCAGGATCAAGTGGTTTATTGTAAGATTATGAGGCACACATCATGTTTTGCTCACAGATTGCACAATGGAAAAGCATCCAAAACTGATCCTCTGTGAAAGTATTAGATCAAATCTAATCAAATCTTTACTGCAGTCATAAACCAGCATAAGGAGGGGATGAGCGTAAAAAGTATGGGATACAATCAGTGGTGGGATTCACCCGGTTCACACCAGTTCGGCAGAATCGGTAGCTAATTTTTTGTTGCCCAGGCCCAGAACGGACTTCCAGAAGCGGCATCCACACAGAGAACCGGTTGTTCACATATTTGAATCCCACCATTGGATACAATCATTAAAAAGCAAAAGGGATACAATAAGAGTAAAAACCTAAAAAAGATCTCTCTCTCTCTCTCTCTCTCTCTCTCTCTCTCTCTCTCTCTCTCTCTCTCTCTCTCTCTCTCTCTCTCTCACACACACACACACACACACACACACACACACACACAATCTAAGATCCAGTTTTTAGATTAGACTTGTCAGTCAACCTGTTGAAGTAAACAGAATGTTGGAAAGACAGAAGGAATCAGAAGTGAAGCTTCCTTATGAGCCAAACTGTCTTTCCCACTTATATGACTAGGCAACAGTAGGATATAGTTCAACCTCCTCTCCCTGTCTTTCCTCCATGTAAAATGAAGGAACACTTGTTCTCTTTTTCTGCTCTCCAATGAGAACTGATTCCACTCGTCTTTTCATTTCTGCACTGAAAAGAAAATAACTGCTTCCTTTCACCATCCTCCTATAAAACAGAAGGCACATTGTACTTGAAGAAAACAGCAACAAACTGTGATCTGTTCTCCATCATCTTGTTGTGCAGAATGAAAACAGGTTTATGCTAAAACCAAACCTTAAAAAAACATTTTGTTGGCAAGAACAGTTTGATAGTGAAGCTCAATTGCCTTGAGAACTGGAGGGATTCCCTTCAGTGAATGGCTTGGACTTCCTACACTGAGTAGGGATTTGGATTTGATGATCTAAATGGCCTTTTTAAACTCTGATATTTGTCTTTTATTTTCTCTGCACAGTGTCTTTTCCCAAGCATGAGGTCAGGGAATAATTTCTAATTGTCTTCTACTGCACGATCCCAGGGTATGGAAGAGGAAGCAGAAAGTGAAGAAGAAAGGGCAGAGAGAAGAATGGGTGGAGGCAGAAAGTGAATAGAAAATAGGTGAAGATTTTAGGGAGATTTTGGTTATACTCTCACAAAATTAAATAGATTTTGGGCTAGAGCAAACCCAGCACTCAAATAAATGTTCATTTACAGTGGTACAACCTTATTTGACCCACATCCACTTTAATATTATATCCTGTTCTTTTAGGACAGAACAAAAAAGCCACAAAGGAGAGTATAAAAAGAAAAACGGAATTAAAGCAAAGTTCAAAACAATAAATTTGACTTCATAATGAATGTTAATGAAGCATTGTTCAAAGCCATGACCTCATTCCCATTTTTAGTATTATTATGATTCTCAAAGATCCGATAGTTTAATTCAGCATCAAAATAAACCAATGGCAGCTGAGGGGACTTTCCTATTATTCCACATATTTATGTAATAAAATATGAAAAAATACCACTAAATGCATTTTTTTGCACATCACACAAAGAATCTTTTTAAAGTCACAGTTTAAAGAATCGGTCCTGACCGCATTTGGAAATAACATTAAATCATAATTTAATCTCTCCCTAGTCCTACCCACAGGCACCCATTTGGGGCCTGGTGAAAAATTTAAAAGCAGCAAATATTCAATGTAAGAGGTTATTTCAGTATAAGTGTCTGTAACCTCATATTCCACCATTTCCGTCTATTTTCAGTTTAGGGCCAGCAACTCATTTTAATAAAAACTAGAAGAAATTGAAAAACATAAAATTCTATAGTGCTCTTATGCTGAAGGGCAACAGCTAAAGATATACTCATCCAAACCATATATAACTAAAAAATGCAAAAAAAATGGATGTGTCCTAAGTCCTGTATTTCCAAAATGAACAACTGTATATTGAACTTAATCATATTTCCACTCACACATCTTAAAGGCATCATAGCCATGTTTAGTCATCATGTTATTTTTTTTAACTTTTGTCTCTGAATTGGAATGCACTACATGGATTAAACATCTTTATTCATTGGACAGAAATGCAGCCAAACTTTTTCTGTCAACAAAGGAATGTAGGTGGTATGTCAACACTGCAACAATCTTGGCTGAAGCCATTTTTTCTTCATTTTCGGTTGCCACAATACTGGGAGGGGGGATGAGTGGTTTTAAAGTTAGACTAAACAATAATTTGTCCCGTGGGAACCAAGGTCATTGCTGCCTGACTTTTGGCGGTCTGAGCCTTCTGTTACAAAGCCCACCAAATTATTCTATTGGGGAACCGTGGATAATTACATAGTGCTGGGAAGTTCAATTTTGTAACATTGTAATGCTTGGGAGAGAACTCCAGACTTGGTTTCACTTTTAACTGTGCTGATACTTTGTAACCAATAAACATGTTCTTTAAGGAAACCTCTTGCCTTGGAGTTCTGCTTTTACTGGTCTCATCTATCGGAACCATGACATAGTACAGATGAACAATGGCTACATCACTCCAAAAGAATTACCCGTTTCCCCAAAAATAAGACTGGGTCTTACATTTATTTTTGGTCCAAAAGATCCATTAGGACTTATTTTCAGGGGAGTTTTCCACATATGGGAGGCAGCGAGCACGGGGGAGCCAAAGGTGTCTGGCAAGTGGACGGAGGCAGCCACAATGGCTTACAGGACTTCCCAGGGTAGATACGGCAGTACCAGTGGAACACACCCTTCAGGTGAGGAGGAGAGCAGCGCGGTCAAGCAGGGGCAGCTGAAATGTCTACCCTGGGAAGCCTTTCTCTGCCTGCCAGACAGAGGCTGAAGCCGCACAAGACAGGGGAGGCGTATGCTGCCCGGTCCTTCAGCTGCCCGCCTGTCCATGTCGATCTCCTCCTCTCCTGCATTCCACTGGTACTGCCACTGCCTCCTGAGCATCTGCCCTGGGAAGTCCTGTAAGCTGTTGCGGCCGTGGGCAAGCAGATGGTTTGATGGAGTGGGTAGGCGGCCACCCAGGTTCCTGCTGGACAGGGCTTTTGCTGGTAGTGCTACCGCCACGAGGCGAGGCAAGTGGCGGGGTGTGGGTGGCCTGGCTGTGGGGGCCCTGAGGTGCGTGGGTGCAGGGCACATGAGGCAGGTCCACTCTCCACCACCTGCCTCGTCTCACCTCATGGCGATGCCATGCACCCTCCTGCTAGGTTGCAGCTGCAAGCAACCAGTCGGTGGGACGGAGTGGGCAAGCTCTTAACTAGGGCTTATTTTGGGGGTAGGGCTTATATTAGGTGCACACGTAAAAATCATGCTAGGGCTTATTTTCTGGTTGGGTTTTATTTTTGGGGAAGGAATTAGACAAAATCGCTGCCCCACATGGCAAATTTGCCTGATTTTTCCACGTCTTTGGTCTCTATCTCCCTTAAATAAAAAGAGCAACTGATGTTGCCAGATCAACTGGTTGCATGTCCTTAGATCTCTTAGCATCAGTGTCAATGAATACATACATTATACATTTGATAGCAAACTAATTTTTGGATTAATTTCATTTATAAAAACAGCAACAAAAAGCATTTTTTTTGCACATCACACAAAGTAAGAATAAGTCATGCTTGAATAATGTTATTCTAGAAATGGTAAAAAAAATAGTAATACATACTACATGCAGGTACTTCACACAGCTCCATGCGTACGTTTTTGTTCTGAGTAAAACACCAAGGTCCTTCCATCTGGCTTCCAGGATTGCGGCAATAAGCATGCCCACCTCCAAGCTCAGGAAACTCTCTACTTGTTAAGTCATGGGAATGAGGATGCTGGGAATCCCAATACTGACAATTATGGCCCGACTTTGTGACACTGACAGATCCTCTATAATCAGCACCAGAGCCATTGTAACACTGGTGATCTGCAAAACAGTGGATTTTACAAGAGACATATGAAGAATAAGAAATGTTCCCATTCTTTCTCTCTGCGTAGATTTGTTCCTTTGCTACATACAATGTGTAACTCTACAATAAAGCTTCTGCTCTACAGTATTCCTTTTTGATTTGGGATAAGATCAGCTGCTTTTTCTAAAAGTAGAAAATAAAGAAAACAATCAAGCCTGCAGAAACAAGCTAGAGTAACCTAGCCAGGAAGTATGAGTTTCCGATAAGCTTTATGCCTAAGGAAGAGTCCAGAAATTAACCAGAACACCCATGTCAACATTACTCTGTCTCAACTGCTTGACCTGCTCAAAGTATTCCACTATCTTCCCCCCTCCCGCCCCATTTAGCTTCTTCCATTTCTTCCCTCCCTCCTGCTTTTTTTCCTCTCAGATCTTTCTCTTGCAAATGAATTACTACCAAACACCATTTTTATTTGTATATTATATCTAGTTGCAAAAGGTTATCTCCTCTTTCTCCACCAAATTTATTTCACTGCAGTCTTAACCTCTCGACTGCTTAGCAACAGTGAGAGATTATACCCTCACCGCACTGTGTTTGGAGGGTTCTATTCTGAAGCAAGCACAACTTAAAGCTTGAAGAAGGGCATTCCTTGCTTTCAGGGAGGTCTGGCAACTGGTCAGGTGCTTGAGGCAGCTTTTGCATTTTTCTGGCAATATTCCTTTACACTGTATAGATGAGAAGCTGGGGAAAAGATTTCACCTGGGCTATTCCTCTTTCTCATCACTGCATTCTTCCTCCCAAGTTAATTCCAAGCAGTCAAAAGGCAAAACATTGAAAGATGTTAAGTTCTGGAAACAGGCAACTACATACATTCAGAAATGGCACTCGGAGGAAAAATCCATGCTAATTTTGCATTAACCCAGGGGTGGCCCTTTTATGATTTGTGGACTTCAACTCCCAGAATTCCTGAGCCAGGAATACTGGGAGTTGAAGTCCATAAGTTATAAAGGGGCCCTAGTTCCCCACCTCTGCATTAAACAAATAGAAGAGAAAAGCAAAAAGGGAAATGTAACAATAACTTACATCTGTTGAGCCGTTCCACAGGAATTCCAATTTTTATACAGTTGGCAGCCTCCAAAGAATCAGGCAGTGGCAAGTCCTCACATTTAGGTGGCTGGAGCTGCATCAGAATGAGGGGATTGGATCTAGCAATGTTGTACTCCTGCCGACAAAGATCATTTTCTAGAACTTCGCACTCATCACGACACAGCTCTCTAGGCTTAGGTATCCGGGAACGCTCATCACACAGTGGAAACACAAAGTGACAAAATGATGGGATGGCAAATTGGGAACACTGATCAGATAAATGGGTGGATGTGCCGATCATGGTAAATGCAGCTGGAAAGACAGACAGAAAAGCCAATAATTAAGGCCCAGTTTCTATAATAAATGAACATCAGTAGAGTATACTGTTTTTCATGTATTTGGAATGACTTTAAGCCAAACTACTAAGAGCATTAATAAAAACTTAGTTGGAACAGACAGCAGATACACTGTAAAAATCTTTATATATTTTGACACATAAGATTAACAAGATTAGCAGTGTTCCAATATCTCAGGGGTTGCCATAAAGAAGAGGGAGTCAAGCTATTNAACTAAGGAGAAACTTCCTGACAGTGAGAACAATTAACCAGTGGAACAACCTGCCTCCAGAAGCGGTGAATGCTCCAACACTGGAAGTTTTTAAGAAGAGACTGGACAGCCATTTGTCTGAAATGGTATAGGGTTTCCTGCCTGAGCAGGGGGTTGGACTAGATGACCTTCAAGGTCCCTTCCAACTTTACTATTATTACTATTAAGATTCTGCAGTAGGAAAATGGTATATTGTACTAACCATGAAGATCAATTTTATAGCATCCAGCCAAATCAGGCAGCATCAAGATGGGGAAACATTTCAGGGCTTCATATATAACTAGGACAAACTTAACCTAGTTTCTCACATATTTTTAATTTGCTAAGTCTTTTGTCTTTGTAGCATCATTCTAGAATTGAGGGAGGGGCTAACCCCTCCCAGAATTTTAAGCCTTGCCTCCAGAGCAAAGGGGAGGAGGCAATTTACCATCAGATTTCATGTCTGTTTCATAAATTTGACTTCCCAGGAAATCTAGTATATTGAGTTTTTCATTCCAAAAACTTGGCAACTTACCAGGGCCCACTCACTGATAGTTCATAAATCACCTATTGGAGGTTCTGTTATACAACTTTTCACTGATTTGAATTACAAAAGGAGGGACTTATAATATTCTACTGATTTCAAATAAAGAGGCTCAAACCTGCCTCAAAATCCCACATGTGTATACTTGTCTAATTCAAAATGTGTTGGAATGAACTGTGCTCATTGAGTTATAAAATAAAAGCACAATGTGTTTGTTAAAAGCATGCATTTCTATAGTCTCACTTCATATGTTCTGTAGCTGAGTTCTTGCAAGTTCTAGGACTTAGCCATTCTTAGCTCTAGCTAAAATTAAATTGTTTATTTTCATTACTAATACTTGATAAGTATTAAAAATGCATTTTCTACTCTAAAACACAGACCAGTAAATCCTCAAACACTGGGTGGACACATCTTGCTAAGAAGGGGTGGGTATTATTAAGCTCAATTATACTGTTAACATTAATACATATTTTAAAGCCAGAGTCTTGAATATTGACATGGTTTGCCGCCGCCTCTGCCTCAGCAACAACGGCATACCAAATACTGGTATTTATTACTTGAGTTTTCTTGAATGCATACAGTGGTGCTTAAACATTTGTGAACCCTTTAGAATTTTCAATAGTTCTGCATAAATACCACTTCTCCATAAAAGTCCTAAAACTTTTGGGCAGGTTTCAAACAAACAAATAGTTGAATTTAAAAGCTCCTGAATTTACTACTTAGGTAAAATAAAGGGAATTGTTGTTAGTACTTAGGTTGCGTTAGTTAGCATTCTCTGTTATGGATTTTTTAATTGCAAGAGTTATCATTGTACTGAATTTTTTAAAAAATGAGCACATAGAAAAGAATTAGGTGGTTGCGATGACTTCTGTAATCTGAACTAAAGAGTATAATAGGCTACTGAACTCACTTTAATCAATAATGACACATTATTGAGCAAAACAGGCTTTAAACATGCATATACTCTTAAGCAGAAAGCCAACACAGGTGAAAACAATGGACTCCTGTCTGTCTCTCTCTCACACACACACAAACACACATTGTCAGACAATTTGATTCCTGGGAAACAGTGCATCAACTTTGATTTTTTTTTTTTTTTTAGGTGAAAGGAAATTGACAAACAATTTTGTGACAGTAAGTGCTGGGACTTACTGCCTTCATTCAGTCTCAAATCATCATTGATCATATGTAGGAATCAGAGAAATATTATACAAATGAATTCTACAGGTTTGGATGATATAAAGAGGCCGAGTCTCATCACCAGCTACAAAGCTTTGAACTACAGAGGAGTACTCAGGAAGCTTCAGCCTTAAGTAAGCAGTAGGCAAGTAGAAAGAAACCCATGGACAATTTGAACTATAATTCGTCTTTCCAAAAACTATTAGGATTGCTTCAAACCACTAAAAGATTTTAACACCATAATATCTTTTAGCCAATTTTCCTATTTGGACAGTAGATGTCACTAATTTCCATTCTCAGAATTATATATCTCACTGGGCTAGCCAAGATAGAAATTAGTGGACGGGATACATTCATTTATGATTTTTTCCCCCTTCATACAAAAATGTTTTTGAGAAATTTCCCTGATTCCACATGAGGAAGATTTTATATATCCAAAGAGATATAGAATCTATCATCCACTGAGATTTCTGTACTCATGTAGCTCTAGCTTTTTATTGCAAAGATTGTTCACTCTTTATCAGTGGAACCCTGCATTGGCAATGATTTAAGAGCTATATTTTGTTTCTTTATCACAGGCATAAACCTTCCTTAGATTATAGTAGACCTTTCCTGTAGGCAGTTTTGTTGATTTACCATTCCTTTTTTCCTGAAAATTTATCCCAGAGGTGGGGAAGCTGACACTGAAAGTTGCACAAGAATGGAAATTTAGTGAAAATAATCCCTCTGTTAGTTAACAGAACTTCACTTTGATGAAAAGTACCAAAATATAGCTACAATGACTGTAATTACAAACCCGTCTCCTAAATCAGGGTGGCAGATGGGGCAGGACAATAAGTATAAATGTAAGTGTATCCCCTGTAAGATAATCCTTGTAAGTAAGCATTAAATATACATACATACATACATACATACATACATACATACATACATACATACATACATACATACATACATACATACATACATAAATACTTTAAATCAGAGGTCCCCAACTTTTTGAGTACCAGGGAACGGTTCCATGGAGAGAGTTTTTTCCGCTGACCAGAGGGGGTGTGGTTTTGTGTGTTGGCTGCATCTTGCGGATGGGGCTTTGCTTGTTTGTGTGGACCGGATGCTGGCATGCCGCGGCCTGGTACTGGTCCACGGACCGGGGGTTGGGGACCCCTGTTTTAAACCATATAGTAACATTATGCAAAAATAAAGGTTTAGAGTATCCTGGTCTGCTGGACTGAAAGGAATAAGGACCTCTCTCACAGAATTACTGCAATTTTCAGGTAGAGGTAAAATCTATTTTTTTTCTCTTTTTATTTTCTTATTTTGGGCCTGTAATACAGTACTCTTCCATCTATTACTAGAAAGGGAAGCTCACAATATAACTATAAGTTAATTATAATTAAAAAATGTAAAAAGCAAACTTTTATCCTGGTAGAAATAATTAAGTTATGGCATCGTAAAAACTAACAAAATTATCAGCACATGTTTATGGATCACAGTGTAGTATTTCTGATACTTGGAGCTCTGGCATTCACAGACTTTTATGAACATCTGCAGTTACTTATAAAGCCTCAAGATTTATCACAAAATAGCAGCCTTTGGGTAACTACCACAACTCTATTTATACTTTTACTTTGGGGAGGGGATTTCATTACTTAATGCTTAGATAACAAAAAGGTGCACATAAAGGCCACATATTAGT